ATTGCTTTGCATGGTTTATTACTGCTTTGTTAAACTTTTGCAGTGCTTGTCTGAGGTGGGTGTAATAGTAGGACCACGCAAGTGCATTAGCGACATACATCTCCTTCTCTTCCAGAATTTCCGAAATATGAACCTCCGACTGAGTGTTTAGGTTGAGTAACTGCATAATAAGTGGACCCACGCCGACACCGCTGAAGATATAGACAAGATATCGTAGCTCAAACCAAGGCATGCCCGTCAGGAAAATAATAATAACGACCATTACAGCGGTCAAGCTTATTAAAGAGATGACTGGACCCCACGAGATTCCACTGAAGCAAGCTTTAATCATCTTGACACGACTTCCACCATAGCGCTCTCGTAGATGATGGCGTTCTTCAGCAATAAGCGACAAGCGGTCGACCAACGTTCCAAGTACAATACTAAGTAAGCCCAACGCTGCTGTGAAGAAGCCAGGAAAAGTTAACTTTTCCTTCTTTCTGTAGCAAACATCTGTCGAATTTTTCTCGATTGTATAAGGGGAGTACTCAACAACTGTTCCTGTTGCGAAGCAGAATATCATTACAAGGACGGCTGTTATTGCGCAGATTGCTATAGATACTCGTCTCGCACGATTCTTTCGTGCTTTTAGAACAGGTTCTCTGTCTTTAACATTCATAATTACTTGTTTGTTGAGAAAGCATGTCCAGCTTCAAATATATACTGTAACTGCTCCAACATTACATCAATTCTTCATTTGAAGCTATGCTTGAAGCTATGCTGTAATTTATATCTCTTCAGCTTCGGAAGGGGGATTACCCATTTCAGATCATGTATATTTATATCTCTTTGTCTTCATGCATATTTAGTGTAAAGGTCACCCAATGCACAGTTGTTTTGGGTCGTGCGTGTCTGGACACGACTCGACGATAAATAGATAGATCGATGGGGGAGCCGATTCAAGTGATGTTTCTTTATGGCGTTTATGGGGGTTGGCCAGTAGAAATTTTACAACTTAGTTGCAACGAAAGATGTTCTGAGAGGACTTACTTTGTCCAACATTTTAAGAGAGTATAAAATATAATCATTTTAAGAATTAAGATTGTATAAATGCACAATATATGCAGGATTTATCAAATTCAACAACTGCACGCAAATCAAATTCAACAACTGCACGAGCGCAACTGATCATGAATGAGTAAACTTTTAATGGCAAAGGAGTCGCAGTATTTGCCCTTGGTTTTGTGGTTATTTAAGTTTTCTTTAACAAAGAGTATAATTATAAATAAAGCGTCAGTGGTCATGGCAATTTTGATCTAAATTGTCACATTGCTGTCATTGGTTATCTATTCAAAATGCAAATTTTGCTTCAGACACAGAACGGAAGTTTTGGGATTCTCTATGTTACTTGTTAAATAGCGGTGGAAGCCGATGAGGTAATACTATAGGCGAAAGTGAACTATATATTTTTATTGTTTATACATGTATATTAATTAGTTCATATTCGCATATAAATAATCTGACGTTATACTGGGATAAATTCACAACATATTTGCGGGATTCCAGGATCAAACTACGTAAAAATACAAGAAAAACGTCGACGTTTTCAACGAAGGCCATTCGTCTGAAAAGGCCAGATGTTTTACATGTTAACAATCATTCCAGACTTTCGGACTTTCGCGTGTATTTTGTACTGATGATTTCCCGTTAGGCGTTAATTTTAAGTCATTTGTTCACGATTTATCGTTAGATATTGGCTTTACTTTTTGCAACCTAGGGTCACGTTTATAGATTATTTTACTGAAACTCCTTGCCTAACGCGACGAATATTCTCGTATGTACACATAATTATCATTTCCGTGATGAAAGTGGAATGTTGTTCTATAATTAGCGCTTGCAAAACACTCCAGTGATGCAATACAAATGTTTTAACGATTTAATACTAATATTATGCTGAGACAGAAAAATCGTCAAATTCAAAAATAATAATGTTCTAATGTGACGCAATTCTTAATATCTATTTTCCACCATGCATGCAATTATCCTTAACTGCGTGGCATATATGAACGAGTATCATACTATATAGTATATGATAACATAATGATTATAAATCTTTAGCAGACGATATAGCCAATCTTCTCAGAAACTAACTGGACAGAGCTGCTAAGGTCCCTGACAGGAGGACAGGAGTTATTACTGGCTATAAAAAGTGTGCTGTCTGTTCAACCTAGAGGGGCTTTGGAGGCTTGGTTCTCCGAGAAGATTGTTGAATTTTCAGTCTCTGAAACGGTATTTCTTGCATGTTTAGGTTGTAATATGGCAGAATAGATTGTCTTCAGCAGTGTGTTCAACAGCACCACAAAACACGCTCGTTTTCCTCTGATGGTTGGCGTGGGTTCCTGACAGTGGGTCTGTAAACCCTGCCTTCCTCTGACCTTTGCATTATCCTTGGTATCTCTGAGTTTCCATTCATGATACCCATAAAAACAAAGGGTGATGAAAGATGTAAAATTCACATGATCTGAAATGAGTAATTTCCATACGAAAATAAGAATGTAGCTGAATCAGCTGCTTTCGTTTCCTGGAATCTGCCAATTCAGCCCTAGAAGCACCGTGTTGCCATCAACATAGAAACGGGCTACATGTGGACACTTGCTAAGCTTCTAATTGCGGCAATAAAAATTTTGTTATGACAACATGAATTGCGTATGTTTGTAATCCTCATTAAACAAGCAATATACAGATGTTTAAATCAAATTTTAACGTCCTGAGTTTTAACTAGGGATCCAAGGATAGTGTGAAGTTTCAAATTTAAAAAGACACTGCGAGAACAATATAGGGTCGCCGACAACCTAGAAAAGCTTGATGGCTTACACTACGAAATAAACAGTTACCAAAGGCATTTCATCTCATTATTTATTGCTTTTAATACGCTCGGCACACGAGTAGCGTGACGTTTGAAACAAGCCTAACACATCAGAAACGTGCCTTGTGAAACTGATGCAATTCATCTATTTATTGTGTCACCAACAACCAAATTTTGCATATTCTAAATTTTCATTTGCATTTGCAGCTGTCGCTGAAAGCATCCCCACGAGACTACTGCTATGCTAAATATATCTAATAAGCTATAATTGAAATAGCTGTATAAGATATGTTATGAATAATAAGCACTACGTCGTTACATCATTAAAAGACGCATTTTATCCTCATCCGTTCCGTATTTTATCCGCATATCCGTTCCGTGGATCCGCTCTATCCGCTTCCGCATTTTAACTTAATTGTGACATGTTTCACAATAACAAGTTTCACTTTCGGTGAGCACCTCTGGGTGAGCACTATATCATAGACAAGATACGTACAAATCTGAAACTGCAATACATACAAGTCAGCGGTATTTCAAGTGCGGTAAACTTGATATAAACAATAATTATAAACAATATAAACGCAATAAACATGCACATTACAAATGGTGCATTGTGAAAATAACGAAGTCATTACAAATGGAGATTTAAAGATAAGTATGTGCAAAGCGAAATATATATTTACTTTTATTGCCTATTTGGGGCATTTTAACTCATAAACATTACAGTATATATACCGTAGCCAACGTGTTTTTATTTTCCAAGGGAAAAATACAGGGTGTATCAAAATAAACGCAATTCATCTTTTGTGCTTAATAACTTTCGAAATATTATTTCTAGTTAAACGCTTTTAGGCTTACGTCAAAGCCTGTTCTTTTCTCTTTCAAACAAACTATTATCCTTGTCTCCAATGCTAGTAATAATTGCACAGGAAAAGATTTAGTAAAACCTATAATTTTTAGTTGCTGTTTAATTATGCAAGTTTACTATGTTATTGTTTAGTCGGTTTAAATGTTAGAATTTTCTTCTTTAAACTTTAATGTTGTCGCCACTACATCTGGAAAACCACGTAAGAACAAATTAAAAGCATTTTAAAAGAGACCAGGTTGTTTGAAAATCCTAAACGAATGCTAAAAATCGTCAAAACATTCTGGTGTCTGAGCCAGAATGTCATCGAATTGCGATGT